ACAATAAGTGAAACAAAGACGGAGCAATTTAGAGCCAACCAAAGGAATGCGAATATCATTACCTACTGGGGATTGCCATTGTTTCTTTGGAGTGGGGAGGGGGGTTTGAGTATTTTTGGAGCTTTGTTCTCTGTTCTAGTTTAGTCATTTGATGAAGCAACAATTTGAAAGCTGGAAGCCCGAATGTGAAAGAGTTTCTTTTTTTTTTTTTTGAGCAAACACAAAACAATGAGGCAGTAAACAGCAGCTTGCCTTCATTAAAGGAAAAAGTGAAAATGCAGTTAAATTAGGGTTTAATTAGTCATCAAGAGCTGCAGCTGCACCTCAGAGTCGTGTCCACTGGTGTCTTTTAGACAGCAGAGCTATTTGAAATGTTATTACTTTGGTAACCCGTCTTAAAGGGGCAGCGTTTTGCAAAAAATACTTTTTTGAGCTTTAAGTCAGGTTATAATGTTATTCCCTCATCAAAAACACACCTGGAGTGTTGCTTTGATTCTTTTATGCATGTTTGAGAAATCCTTTAATCTCCATAGTAACCATTCAGCTGTGCAAAACACCTGGATGGAGCTAGCTCCACCTCCGAGGTCCAGCTCCTCCTTCGCGGTGCAGTTTCCAAGATTATGAATCACAGAGCAGCCCCACTCGGCTCCTTCAGACTAGACAGCAGCAATTAGCAAACACCTGATAGAACTACACATCTGCTGAGCTCATTATACGAGTTACTTCTCAGTGAAATGCTGGTAAAAACTTTGTTAAAGGGTTGATAGAGAAGCCATGTTGTGATGGTGGAGCTTCAGAAAGAATAGGAGTTTCTTAAAGAAACAGAGACCCAATTTAAAGTGACTAAATTAATTTATTTTAAGTTAAATTTGATACATATGACATTTTTTAAGCAACTGAAGGCAACAAAATTAACCAACTGTACTCTAAAATGGCACTGATACGATATATGTATCGCAGTTTTGAGTATTGGTCAATACCAATAGTGACCTGACACGACATCAGCATAAATCATACATACCTTTATGACTTATTTCATAGAGTGAAATGCTGAAAAAGGCTTCATCAAGTCATATTACTCAAACAGAAAACAACTAACCCTTTTATTATGAACCAGTGGGTTTGGGAGCGGGATACAAGCGCTGCTGGATAGAAATACTGGAGCAGACTGAATTCTGGAGCGCAGTGTTTCTATCATAGATTCTAGATGAAGGCCGATATAATCAGATACTCGCTTTTTGGTTGATATCAGACCAATTTCCAGTATTGTATCAGGACACCCCTAAAATCATCTAATTATTAATCAGAGTTTCAGGGAAACTCCCACAGCAGCAGCTACAACAAAGATGTGTTGCAGTACTCCCACAGCTGCACTGGGTTTTGTTTCTTTGATGCTGTTGCACTGCATTCGCTTGTCTTGAATCACACTGGTGGAAACAGCAAACTTTTGTTTTTTTAAGAGGTTGGGGGAAGTTTCACCCTAAGGCGCTACATACATTACATTTCTGATTCGCTTTCCTGCGGACATGGCTGTGAGTCAGCTCCAGCTACTCTGTACTGATACAGGTCCACTTCTCATTTCCTCTATTGCTCATATCATCCTCACTGTCACATCTTTAACCTTTGACCTGCAGCACTGAGAATGAGCTGCAGGTCAAAGTGGGAACGCTTTCCACATTGACCTGGAAAGCATATGGGAAAGCATGCATATGGGGACACTTTCCATATGAACAACAAACTGATGTTTCTACTGGCAGAAATGACAAAGAAGACGACAGGAAGTGGTAGCATGGTGTGTTTTTTTAAATGACTGATGGAAACACCTCAACTGCAAAATTGTGTTTTGTTCCCCCAGATTAGAAGAGCATCGACAAAGTTTTGTGCACATTTGTAAACACAGCTAGTGTATTGTGTTCATAACTATCTGTATGAATCTTTGGGTTGTCTGGTTCATACAAACATATAAACCTGACAGATTAGCCATCTATGGGAAAAAATAAAATCATGAATTTCTAATTAGACAACATGGTTGTACTGCTGACTCTGCCTAAATCTGCAGTTTGCCCAGTTAAACAGCTTGGTTCTTTCTTAAAGACTTAAAGTCTTAATGCCCTGCTAAAACATTTAGTTAAACATTAGCCGGGAATCATCAGCAAATATATTACTGCCAATGTAAAAATTCAATGAGCAAATCTCATGGTGGTAAATTTGCAATAACAATAAATGCTTTATATACTCTGTAACTCTAGTCAAATCAATGCTCATGCTGGCAGGATAAATATGTGTCTCATTCCAACTTTGTCACAGTTCCAGGTGCTCTAAATTAGTGAGACACAAAATATTGACATCAGAATTGGCCAAAGTTAGTCTTTAGCATATTATATCAGATAAATACAATTAGATCGATATTAATAATGTAGATTTATTTCCATCTTGTTACCAATTGTGTGTTTTTCTACAGTTGGCAAACCGTAAGGAAAAAAAAGTTTGTAATATCAATAAATATTGAATATCGGCCATAGCAGTGATATTGTTATTGCTTAACTTTTATACTGGTGCATTGCTACTCTAAATTTTTTAATAATTGTTCAGACTGCTGATAACAGTCATCACCTTCCTTAACTCCTACAATGGCATTAGCCTGGTTAAGGAAGGTAACAGTGAGCAAACTGTGGTAATAAAACGATCCTGACCCGCTGGAATAATTAATCAGCGAATTCTGTTTATAAAACTTCCATGATGTTCTGAATTCAGCTGAGAATTATGTTGGATAACGATGAAAAACAAATCTGTGTTCTTGTTTGAAGCTTTACGGTTAAGACAATTATGTCCAATCAGGCACATTAAGTATTACTGACCTAATTGTCTGTGTTGACACTGACGTTCATTCTTTTACCAATACTGCCTGATCCAAACGGACTTTGTGATTGATTTGTAGAAGTTGTTGCTCCATGCCTGATTCTCCTCTAATAAACCAGCCTGCACCCTTTCCCAGATGCAGCAGAAGAGTCCAGCTGCCGTCTCCTGAACTCATTCCACATGAGCGCCGACTCTCCGACTGAAGGTTGCCTGACCTACTCTGCCTCAGCTTTGGGGAGGCTAAATATTTCTCTCAGCCCGCTGCGATGTTTCACCCTCTGGCTGCCAGATAAAACGCTGGATGGCCCTGGCGGAAGGTGTGTGATTAAAGATGGATGTGTGGAGGAAAAGGAGGGTTCAGCAGCCGGTTGGAGCCGGCGTTTACCTTTGCAATGGGTGGTTGGGGGGGAGCATGACAGAACAGGCTTCAAAGTGCATCTCGCTTTCCTGCCCCTGCTGTTTAATTCGCACAGTGTTTCCCGGTATGTCTCGCTCTCTGGAGACGACGGAGCGTTTCCAGAGCTCTTAAGAGTCGTGGAGGAGCATGAAGATCCCATGCTGGGGCCAGAGAGAAAGCCGTTAACCCGGGGAACCTTACACGACACTAAAACACCCAATTAACATTTGCAGCTGGCTGTTGTTCAGCCCCATGAGCGGCTTCTGCTTTTAAATGCTGAATCGGAGCGTAAGCGACAGGCTTCGACATGCTGCTTTCTGCACAACGGAGCAGGAGATTGGCGCTAAATTTATCACCATCTATCACATTCCAATCACAAACGTAACGGATTTTATGTGACGGACCAACACAAAGACGTAGCAATCAAACGAAAAAACTAAAGTTTGCAGGGGGATTTGTATTCACCCCCTCCTTTACTCTGATACCCCTAAATAAAATTCAGTGCTACTAAAAAGCAAACAGTATGACAGAGTATTGGGGCCATATGAAAAGAATAAAAAAAAAGTCATAATATAACTTTATTTTCATAATAGTACAACTTTATTCTTATGCGACTTTATTCTCGTATTTATTTTTTATATTTTAACATGGACCTAACACTACATCACACAAACTATGTTTGTAATTTAATCTGTTTAGGGTCTTAGAGGTTTGCTGGAGAACATGCATCGTTAGATGACGTCCACAGCTCAGGAGGGACAATCTAGTAACTTCTCAAATTTTACTTTTATGGAAGAATACCCACCTCCCCCCCCAAAAGATACAAAAAATAACAATAAGAAGCTCTATAGTTGAAGCAGCGGACGCTGGAAACAGGTGGAAGAAGGAGTTCAAACCAACAAAGACGTTTTTGAACTACATGAAGAACACAAATGCAGCGGCATGGCGCTGTGAGGATCCTTCTCTTCAGAAGCTGGTCAGGAGATAAATGGAGCTAAACACGAGACGATCCCGAGGAAAACCTGCGACAAGGCTCCAGAAGACTTGAGGTCTGGGTGGAAGTTCACCTCTCGGGAACAAGGTTCACGTAAAATTTCATCCACATTTAAACCCCATCAATCTGTGCTGGGACTTGAAAACCGACGCTTCGGTTACAGAGACGCACCTTTGTGAAATTGTCACAAAGTGTGGTTCCAACAGTGTTTGACACGCAGGGACTGAATACAAAAGCACGCCACACTTTTCAGATTTTTGTTGGTGAAAACCCATTCCTTTCACCAAACTTCGACTGAAAGTCTCATCAAATCGCAACAAAACCCCCACTGAAGTTTGTGGTAAGATGTGAAAGTTCAAGGAATTATTAATACTTTTTGCCAGACAGTATTTGCTCCCCCCCCCCCACTCCAAACATCAGAGAATATTACATTTAAGAGTTTCCAACAGCTGCAGGCAGATGTTCACATCTGCTTCCAGATTTCGGGTGTAAAGGATTGCGTCTCGCTTTCGTGTTTAGATCAATATTAGAACAAATTGATTCTCTATAAGCTTTGCAGACGGTACCGATTCAGCGCGGCTTTAACAAGATGCCCAACGTGGGCGATAGATTTTTTTTTTCCCCTAGAGAATATTGGAGGAGGTTCAGCCGAGGAGAATGAAGACAGAAGGAGCAGAGGAGAGTAAATAACTGAAGTGTATTCTGGAACTTAAAAGAAAGAAAGAAAAAAAATCTAGATGTGAAAGTTACCTGACACCGGACTTTCAGGTACCCACTTGGAACCGGGGTGCAGAGCGTGAAACGCGGCGCGCACCTCCTGGCAGTTTGGTGCCTGTCCGCCGGGAAGCGGGAACAGCTGGAGAAGGAGGGCGCACAGGAGGAGCGCTCCGTGGACCGATGCGGCCACCATGGCAGGGAGGCCGGCGGAACCGGAGCGAAACCGGACGTAACGGGGAAAAAGAAAAAAAAAAAAAAAAAAAAAAAAAAAAAAAGCCAAGGGAAAAAATGCT